ATTAAAGTAGTCTGTACTTTCAACGTATGTTGCTTTTACAACAAACATCATGTGTTGTGTTATTTTTACCAATATTCTTGCTTAAAGCGAGGTACGATGATAGGAGGGGGTGGTAGATCACTAGCAATTTTGACACTAAAAAGTCGATCACAACCTGTTTGAAGTTGGACATGCCTGCTCTATGGTAAACATACAACCCACTGAATTCTGACCTTTGAGGCTATATACTACAGCATGGCTTTTGGATGCAGGTTGACACTCTGTAAAAGCCTGTGCACAGCTCTTTCATTTGTACTGCATCCCAGGTAGCAATGGTCTGAGCACTTACTCTGAATGGGACTCTCCCGGTTCCTAATGTTATGCTCAAGTATCCTGTTTAATTAACATTACAGTTTTGTTCATACATATTGTCTTAAAATGTAACAATTTTTCTTGTCTCATATACATCTTATCTTTCTTTCATAGTACCAGTTGTGAAAATTGGTGTAAAAATATTGTAACATATAGACCCATTACTAAAGTAAACATCAGGCACTGATAGGTAACATCTGCAACATTCACACACACAACAATAGGAGAATGGCATTTTCTACATGGTCTGTGCCATGACTGTTGCTATGCAATGACAAAGCAAATATGCCTCACAACAATAGAGGCTGCTTTTTCTGCAGGGTCTGTGCCAAGGAATTATCTTGAAGACAACTGAAGCTACAAGAGTCAATTGAGGGTTCACCTGTGAAGTGTTAACCAGCAGGATATGGATGCAGAATAATCTCCATTGCCAGGCTACAACTAGTGAAGACTGAAAACCCTAGTAGCAAACTGTATAATGTGTCAATCAGTGATAGCAGGATAGTAAATGTGATTACGAGCGTGAGTAACCGAAGTGCTAATAAATCCAAGCATCTGAACTAGAACCTGTCATTTCTTCATGTGTACCATCCTACCCATGACAACATTCTTATGCTTGGTCCTGGAATGTAAAGCCATCCAGTGTAAACAGTTTATTATAAATAATCTCATTATTTATATGGCTTTACATATTTTGGCCCATCTTTTCTAAATAGCCACAAAACATATGACATGTTGGTCATTTCTGCTACAAAGAGGAATGTCCATAAACATTCTCACAGCAATGAATACAGGTAACAGAAGAACTGCCGCTTCTATGCGACACTCCCCATTAAGAATGTAACACTATAGGGGAAACTGTTTTCTATGCAGTCTGTGCCAAGCAAACACATTGAACAATATGACGTCTACTGCTAGGCAACGAAGCTGTAAACTCCTTAACAAAAGAAGATGGTGTTTTCTGTGGTGTCAGTGAGGGGTTATCTTGAAGACAATCGGTGCTATCAGTCAGTCAGTTGTCAGAAGGAGATAGCCACGAGTTCATAGTTGAAGAAGAATTAGAAGTCGACCTGTAAAGACTTAACGTGTGAACTGAAGACTTTAGGTGTGCTGTAGTGTACTGATATCTGGAGTGTGACAGTTATAGCTCCTGTGTTAAAACCTGTTGCTAGGAAACAGACAAGGAAACCTTTGCAAAGGAATAGCCACTGTTTAGATGTGTCACCTAGAAACAAGCAGATATAGAAGACTTTATGTGTTAAAATTACAGTCAACTTGAAAGTGTTATAATTATTTGTAGTGGATATCCAATAAATCAACTCATCGATCCAAACCCGCATATTTAGCCACTAATTCATGTGACAATATAACACCATGCATGTGCCAATCAATACAGTTAATATTATACAAATCCACACCCAAACCACCTTAACTTTCAGCCCAACACATACACCGACACTACATGAATTCAACAGTACATCCAAGTACAAAACCTTCATATGATAAATATTAAAATACCTCCCTTCTCTATACTTTCATACACTTAAAAGCAGCAACAAACAATTTTCTGTCATAAGACATAACAAAAAAACAAACAGTTTTATTGATGATAGTTAAATATTATAATTTTAACCTCCTTTATTCTTAGCACTGCTAAACTTATACCATGATCCTTAGCAAACTGTAGCGCAAGTTCATTTTACTGTCAAGCCTCTAAAGATGCCCTGAAGGGCTGAATCATGCAAGGCCATGTAAGTAATTGGTTTATTTGCAATAAAATTGTTTACACCGGATGGCTAGTCATTCCAAGATCAACATAAGTGTAACTGCAAAGATTTCATGTTAAAATATTTTTCTGTTTCCATTCATTCTCATGGAGCCTAAGCATGACCTGTCTGTAGAATTGCAATAAGGCATTACCGGACTATGTTAAGAATATGGCCGCCCCACAGCTCAAGTGGTTAGTCACTGGTTTCCCACCGCGGCGGCCTGGGTTCAATCCCGGGTCTGGTCAAGTGAGATTTGTGGTGGACAAAGTGGCGCTGTGGCAGGTCTTCTCCAAGTACTTCGGTTTCCCCTGCCAATCTTCATTCCACCAAATGCTCCACAATCACCCTCACCTATCATCTGGGGCTGGTACAATAGGCCAGAAGTGGCCGCAGTATAGGGAACTTAGTCCCACCCCACTAGCAATAAAAAAATGTTAAGATTATCCAACTTGCAATTTCAAGTCACTTGAAAGTTTACCACATTCATCATATGTTTCTGTGAAGGCACATGTAATTCAGTTCAGGGAGATACATGTGTGTATAATTTAAGATTAAATGCAGGTGTTGGCAGATTCATACTTGCTAGGTATGAAAATATTTGAGTTACACCTCACAAACAAGCTAAGCTTCACCTTCTTTACTTGCAGTTGATATATGCTTGTGTCCTTCATTTTGTCTATTATAAACAGTGGTATACAAGGACTATTACTGTGTCAAAAATATTCTAACCTGCATGTAAATACATACCAATGCATGTTTTATTGTTGACAATCTCATAACCAATTTGACAGATACACAGAGGCCCACGAGGAGAACCCACACAACGATGACTGCATCCTGCAGTGCTGCAGGCTGCAATGCTCACATTGCATGCTGGGCCTTCATCTGAGCCATCTCGACAGTGTTCCACACCATCACACAGTTCTCCAACTTCCACACATTCAAATTTATCAGCACAGAGAAACAAGTTCCGTTCCAAAATGCATTCCTCAGGAGATACATGACGGTCCCGTGCTGAAATATAAAACGTGTAAAGTCATATCATTCTTGCAGTTAATAGATATTGAACTTTTTTTTTATTTCATGCATCCTGTTGTGTTATAATTAGGGACTGGATTTTTACGCCCTAATAATCCCTTAAATGCCGTTATCCGTACTTATCTCTCTTTCGAACTCCCACTGATACAGCTGTAATTTAGTTTTCTGACTTACTTTTACTTTCAGCATGACTACAGAAAGCTAAATAAACTTAACTACAGACTAGTCACCACTAATGTGAATGGCCCCCAGCTTCAAATGAAGATGGGTAACGAACCTCATGGAGACTTCAAAAATAAATAAGTGAAGTCCATTATCAGTTGAATAGTATTACATTGATAGCAGCTACATGTGAACGGTTCTGACTAATCTATTCGCAGCCACTTTGATGGTACACGGATGAGGCAAGTTACAAGTAGAGGGATCGGGGAAGTCCCATTCTGGGTATTGCATCAGAAACGTGAATCATGACAAAATGTTGAGTCAAAAGAGCAACATATTCTAATATGGAAAAGAAAAATTGTATACACACGACCTTGATTGAAAATTTGAACACAAAATTAAAAAATATATATGATAAACATTTTCAAAAGGAAATATGCAGTATAAATAGAGATCTTCGAAAATATAATGCTTATTCATAAAACATGCAAAATATGCATTTATATGCACCATCAATCCATGTCCAAAATTTAAGAAATGAAGTAATTCACACATATATACAAATGAGCATACTTTCTGGTTGCAAGAAAGAAATATGCATTTGAATTAAAATCCGGTCCCTAGTTATATAGATATTGAACTGTAAAGCATTCTTGGCTATGGAACCAGGTCCATCACAAAACCAGCTGGTCTACCTTGAGCGAAATCAAGTACCCTTAGGTACACTTATTATCATATATCAGTATACAATGTAAGTAATACTAGAATAAAAAATGTTATTTTTATGTAGAAGCATGAATTAGATATCACTCAATCAAAGAAAACTGATTCTTAAATGAAAAGTACATTGTAATACCTCAATGTTTCAACATCTCTTCACTTTGAATATTTGTATGAACGTGTCGCTTCCATAGATGTTCTTTGAATATATGTCTATTAACCAGAAAGTGGAGAATTTTATTAAGATTGAAATAAAATGGAAATTACAGACACAAACCAAATCTGGCTTACTTTCATTCATCATAGTTCAGTCAAAATTAATACTACCAGAATATAGGTCATGTCCTAATGTTCTAGTTTCCTGATGGCATAACCAAAGGAATGTGAAGAACAGAAGGTAAAACATTCCATTCTTCTGGTAGATTCAGCCATTAGAAGTGCATGCAGAGATAGACACACCCAAATAAGGTGTCTTAGACAGAAAACTTCACAGATTCCCATTTGTAATGGAACAAGTGTATTTCCATTTACCTTACTAAAAATGCTGGAATATGCACTCATGCATGGTGGGTACCAGTCAAGATCACTTTCCCAAAAGTATCACAATCTTGTACAGAGTTCTGAGCTCATTATCTATCTACACTGACACTTGGTGCTTAATTACATAAGTGTATTTACTTTTTCTTCCATTTAAAATAACTTACATTAAATCTCAACGAATCTTAAGTACATTATGTGCACAATTTTGGACTTCATATTTAAGGGAACACCCAATGAACATAGAGAAGGAAAGGCTGATGGGGTGAGGAACACCACCATAAAACTGTTAGTGTATGTGACAGTGCAGGCTGCATTGCCAACATTTTGGAAATCCTTATAGCCTCCATTCCCAACGCAATGTGACTGATTAATGGCCCTAATAATACTCATAGCTCAGGTGCAATGGGCAGTGGGAGGTGCTTTATGTGATTCATCAAATGATATCCAATGGAAAGTGAGAAACAGAAGAGTAGACTTTAAAGGGCTAAACAATTTGGGGGGGGGGACTTTGGAGGGATCTGCACTTTTGAAGGTATACTTCTGTTACTTTGCATTGATCATTGCTCAGTGAGTCAAATAGAGCATTTCCCAGTGACCAATGAATTATTACGGTTAGTAGTGGTTGGGATCATTAGGTGGTTACTTGCCCTAAAGATTGTAAGAAAAAGGTTCTCCCCAAAATTTTACAGCACAGCCTACATCTGAATGGTGCCATCAACCAGAAATAGAATCCACATTTATCACTGAACCACCATTAAAGCCTAAGTCTATTACCATACTGCACAAATTAAAGAAGATACTTGAAATAAAAGGTGTGAAAGAAATGTTATAGAACTTACGGCAGTGTAATTCTTCACTGTTATCTCCGCAGTCATCAGAACCATCACAAATGAATGTAGTTGGAATGCAATGATGATTATCACATAAAAATCCATCTGTACAGGACATCTGAAATAGAAGGGGATATTCATTATTCAAATCCCAAACTCAATAAACCAAAGCCAACTATTATTTTGTAATAACTCTGTGTTCATTAATTTTCCCAGTATGGTGGATAGTTACATATTTTAGGAATTCGCAAAGCAAGAACTTTCACAATTCATTATTTGCATTCTAGTCATTTAGTTAAAAGCTATTTATACATACTGCAATTAAAAATTTTACAGTCTTATATTGTCCTAACAAACCAAAAATGAACAATCTCATAAGCATTCTCAATATTTTATAAACATAAACTTGAGTGCAAACTATGGACTTACTATAAAAACAAAACTTTCTTAGTGTGTTCAACATGCCTCAGTTATCATTACCACCATTGATTTACACCAACTCTACAAGATCATCATTCTTCAGAAGCTGTAATTTACCTAGTCAAGAAATTCACTGCCACTTGTTGAGCAGTGTTGGACCCTGCCCTGAGGCAGACAGGTTCCAGCCACATCCTGTTTCTGGAAGATTCATCTTAAACCTACCTCCAAACAATACCTTGATCTCCCAAGCAGTCTTCCCTCCATGTTTTCTCACATATTTTATATGCATTATTCACCTCTCCTATGTGTGCGCTACATATCCAATCTGTCTCATCATTTTAATCATCTCAATATTCAGTGAAGATATTGTGGCGTGCCACCTAGGGCCAGAATATTTGGAATCGGAACGCATCCATTGCTATACAATGGCAAGCAATGCCTAGGCAGCAAAGCCTATGAAATTGTTGCCCTGGAAATGAAAGTCTAACAGTGGGGTACCCACTGTCACAAACAAACCGTTTGAGACAGCGTTTAAATAGCAGTGGGTGAAATTAACTCTTCAACAAGGTATTCCTTATTCAGTCCAAGTGCACGTTATAAGAGTCCAACTGTGACAAGAGACTACTTCAGTTTGTATTTGACTTTAGCAGAAGAGCTCTTATCTGACTAGAGCAGAAGAGCTCTTATCCGACTAGAGCAGAACAGTTGTAACATTGAAGAAGAAACGTCTAAAGGACGTTATAAGTGAAGAGAGTGTAAGAGACTGTCCAATAGAGATATTCATTCAAATCCGAGAACCAACACAATTTCTTGTCGCATTGCCTAGCAAACATGCAACAATATAAATTACATTCCTCATAATGAAAATGTTTCAAGCCACATGTTACTTCTCAATTAAAAGAAAATATTCTCGTTGACATCCTGCTCTAAAAGAGGTAAGAACCGTGGCTCTCTGTATTTTAATTGTTAGGTTTTTGGACATAAAACAGGAGGCAAACTATTCTGAACTGAAATGACACTGTCAATCATTACTGTATAAAAAGCATTTATGCTTAAAAAAAATCCAAAAATTCAGTGTAACTTTTAATCAATCTTCTAATTTTATGTCAGTCTGGATACTCTACAATAACTGATATTAGAATGGAATATTTTTTCCAAGTAATGTGAAATGTCTGATTTTTATATGAATCTTCATCTTCATTGTCAAATATCTGTAATTATTTTCAACTAATTCCTATCCCTGTTTCAACTGATTTTCCAGGCTATTATTACAAGCAAGCAAAAAAACTCTTTAAATATGAGTATTAGGTATGTGATTACAGTTCTTGGGGATTTTTCTTCTTTCATGAGAAATTTATAAAAAAACTCAATAACAGATCAGCATACATATATCTGTAAATTCAAGACTGATGTTGTCAGCTGAACAGAATTTATCATTGATCACAGTCAAGCCACATTCATAAAGTATGTCAATATACACTTGTCTAATGTCACTTTTCACATCGAAATATCTGTCACATGTTTCGGATACTATTCTGAGGGCATAATACTTTCAAATGAACAAAAAATTCCAGCAATGGCTTGGTTTCATATTAAAATTTCTTGACAAACTTTTTAGAAGTCAATTCTTATAAATATAAATCACTCCGTCCAATGTGACCTGTAAGTTTTTTACTACATGAAAACTTAACACCCTTACATGTTTCGGTCTCTGTGGACCATCTTCAGAGGGCAAACATCACTACAAATAGGAAACCACCATCACATAAGTTGTTTAGATGTAAAGTACGTACACTTATATGCTACTTTATGTCTAAACAACTTATGTGATGGTGGTTTCCTATTTGTAGTGATGTTTGCCCTCTGAAGATGGTCCGCAGAGACCGAAACATGTAAGGGTGTTAAGTTTTCATGTAGTAAAAAACTTACAGGTCACATTGGACGGAGTGATTTATATTTGTAATTGTTAGTGTGACGGACCAGAATGAAACAAATCAAACTCAATTCTTATATTTTTCATAATATTTTTGGATAATAAAAAGTAACTGTTCATGGAATTCTGCTAGTTCAGGTATCAGTAGTGGTACATATAGCATCTCTGAACAACCAATTTTCTTCACCATCACAAGAAAGCACATATGAACTAACCTAGTTCCGATCAATGAACTAACCTAGTTCCGATCACTGAACTAGGCTGCAAGATAAACATCTGGGTAGTGCTTTGTATTAAAAAGAAACACTGTCTTTTATGTAAACTCCAAAATTACTCCAGGAAATCTAAATGACACTAGTAAATCAAGTGTGTGGTGTGTTAAATTCCATCCAGTGTTTATGACCATTAATGCATTAAGGGAGGTCAGTGCAATTTTATATATTTTTCTATGTATGTTCACTGTGGCAATGACTATTAAATAAAGTCTGGGAAGGTACACAACATAATAATTCTAGAACATCCAGTCTACTATTTCCTCTACAATTTTAACTTGTTAATGCTACCTTCTGATGTTGTCTTTTACATTAAAAAAATGAAAATATCAAGCAAAAATAATGAATAAATAATTTTTGTGGTGTTTTGTCATGTTACACAAACATCAGGGCTAGAATTTGGTGAAATATAAATAAGACACTGGTTATCATGTTCGGGACAGCATTGCTAAATGGTGAACAATGAAATTCAGAAATGTATCCATAGCAATAAAATTCTGGAATGTTTGGGTCCGGAGATAGGGACTAGCTCCATCGATTGGGCACAACTGAGTAGGTTTTACCTGAAGACAGAGACAGACTCCAGTCTCCGAAATGGTGTGTTTGGAGAAATAAACAGGATGGTTTTTAGACAGAGACAAGATGATGGATAATGTCCAGAAACATAATAACAGGCATTCAATCATCGAGTAAACTAGGGGATCAGATCTCACAGATTGCTGCTGTAACTGCCGATAGCAGAACAAGTCATCAGCGCTGATAAACATGCACACACTTGCTAGCGTAGAGCAGATGAATCATTTCTCTGCGACTGTATATCATTAACGTAGCGGTCAGAGTTCAGTTTCATGGAAAAATAAGGGGCCAATGATTTGGCACAGACTTACAGCACACCACGCCTCCACCTTTTCACTCTGTAATGGCACTTGCTGTATAGCATGAGGATTTTACACACATAATTAGTTCAACTGCCGTGGACCAACTACAGAAAGCGTTGCATAATTTATTTATGAGATGTGAGGCATGTTTGCAAGCTGAAGGGGATCACTTCCAACACCTGTTATAAAGCATGGTAAGTTTGTTATCTTCTTACAGTATTCCTATAAATATGTGCATGTACAGAAACTTATGCAAGGGAATCAGCGACACAACTGCACTCTCGGTAGCAGAGAAGGGTACAGTAGTCGCGGAGAAATGATCCATCCGCTCTACACTAGCGAGAGTGCGCACAATCAGCGCTGATTTCTCATTCCATTATCGGCAGTGACAGCAGCAATCTGTGAGAAATAATGTATCCGACCTACGCCACTCCCCTGGTTTCCTCGATGGTTGAACGCACTGTATTTGTACCAATGTACCATCGTCACAAACTTTTAGATCTTATTTTCTCATTTATGTTTAATTATCTTGAAAACTATGACTTATGGAAGGGAAAAACATGTAGCAATGACACTGAATGTACATAGTTAACATTTTAAACTTTTAACAAACACTTTTTAGTGAATTAAATATATTGTAACGTGTTTACGTTACTGATCCCACTTCTGACACCAATGTAACGTGTTTTGTTACTGAAGACGCCGTAGAGATGGTTAACTGGTTTATTTAACAATCTACAAGTAACGGCTACAATTACTTATCTCACAGTTGCGGGGTTTCACACTTTATAACCCTAATCGCATTAATCTGTTAACACTGTTGCGGGGTTTCACGATTTATAACCCTATGCGCAAATCAGTTCACTCTGTCTTCAGTAGTCTACACGTTTACAGTAGGGGAGCTATGTATCGCTGTATCACACGCTCCCAATTACACAATCACACACACGTCCGGTTCTTCTTTCCGCGACGGCTGCTATACTCCAACTGTAGTC